AACTAAGGCAGGACCTGAGCCAGATACGCAATGTGGACAGAACACAGGCTTCGGACACTTGGGCACAGGTAACCATCACAGGCCCTGTGCCTGAATTCGTTTGGTCTGAGGCGCAGCCTCGTGGGGCCTACCGGAAGCGTCTGGGCAGGGGCCCAGCGCAGCCAGGCTGCACGCAAGCAGGCAGGCATTTCCATTTAGGAAGTGCCTGCCCACGCGTTCGGCATTCGGGCACTGGCTGCATGCTGCGCAAGCGCTGCTGCGCTAACGCTGGCCAGCGCTCACGCGCTCACGGGCGAGCTGGAAGGAGCAGGCAGCCATAGCCGAGCTGCGCTGCTGTATGCTGGATGGGGCGCATGGTGGTCTTTGGGTGCATGTGGCATCTGTGAGTTGGGGAAGGAGGTTGTGAGTGATACGAGAGACATACCTGGTGCTTGGAGCGAACGGCATTGACCGAGATCTGCTCGTACTTCGTGGAGCTGTTGACGTCACCAGCGGCATTGTAGATAGGCTAGATAGGATCTGCCATTTGTAGTCTGGGTGCCGAGCACCGGATAGGATATCGACATTGGTTCTTTGTTGATGATGATGAGACTACTCGAACATTGTCACTTATGAGCTTTTGCTGTACTATTGTTCGGTGGAACTCGCGATGCAATTCTGCTTTTGGTTCGAGGTCATGACTATCTTGCAATGACTTGCTGATTTCTACTGCCGAGACTGACTGCGAGGCTGTATAGTACAGCAGTAGGTTAGATTCACAATTTTGTTTGGCTGAGGGATAACCGAGAGACCTACCTGTAAGGAAACTCGTGAGGGACACATCTGCAAATCTGGGAAAATATAGGTCCAGTACTAACTCGAATTCCTACAGCTACCCTAGCTGCGTATAGCAGGCCCGGGACAGACAGGCCCTAAGTGGCCTATGCTGATAGACGGTCCTATAGCCTATAGCCGGGTCCGGTAGAGACCGAGAGGCCGAAACAGCAACGGTACCGGTCGGTCAGTCAGTCCGGTCTAGGTCTAGTGTAGTCTATGGATAGGGTAGGCCCATCGGTTCAGGACTTTTGGCAGTTCGTTTCTCTCGAAGCAGCGTTGGAGAAGCCGAGCAAGTTGGTGGCGGTGTCTGTCTGCAGGCGGCATCCTGAGACTTCGCCGTTGACAGCAGCCATAGCCGGCCCAGTCTGAGTCTGCCATAGCTGGGGCATCCTCAATGCATCTACCCCTGGGGGTATCTCCGTCTGGCTGGGCTACATCGAGGCTCTACACTGTGTACTCGTGGGTGGTGGCAGCCATAGATGCCTTTTCCTTCTTCAGAGTTCTCCATCGGCACTGAAGACTTCATCGCAAGACCTGTTCTTCATCAGGGTGGTTGGCGCTGGCCTCTGGGAGGCCATTCTGATGTGGCGCTACTAATTGGGTGTAGGATAGAAAGTGGGGTGTGAGTTCTGAGAGTGGCGAGATACTGGAACAAACTCTGTGGTTGATGAGAACTATCCGATGTGTGATTGATGCTGAGGTGGAACGGCGGCGCAATGCTGGTTGTGCCGAAGCAGCGACTGGTCATCACAATCAACATTGGGTCGTCTGGTGAGAATATTTGTGGTTGGGGGCAGCTATTTTGAGGTACGTTGCACCTAACCTTATCTACCCTCTTTGACACTTCTTACCGTGAGGATGTGTGTTTTTTCTTGAGAGTCCTCTCATGTGAGGAGTCGTGTGCGCTCAACCTTGAGAGTCGCCAGTCTTCACGTGGAGCATCTGGAAGGAGAGGGCGGTGCTATCTGAAGGGCCCTGGACGAAGCACTGGGTCACGGTCACCATGCCAACTCACCGGGAGTAGAGCACTCATGGTTTGCTGCTTTGTCCTTTGTCTGCTCGCTGCGCTATAGAGGGGTTCTGAGGGGCAGGCCAGCCCTACGGGAAAGACGAGTAACACTGTCGGGAACCTTCCATGGGTTGTGATCGTCGTCCAAGTTTGCGACGTTAAATAATTCCTGAGGACTTTGGGGGCCGTCCATAAAAACGCCTCTTGATCAGCCAATCGGTCTGTGTAAGGCTCGCTGCACGCGAGGATAAATACTGTGTAGGGCTGGCTAGCTTAGCGGGACTCGGGGCATAGGGGTGGGCCGTGTGCACACCTTTAGACACGCACACTTTCCGGATTGCTCAGGGACGGGGACAACAAGAGACATTCATGAAGAACTGAGGGAGGGGTAGATTCTAGGCGATAAGTTTGGGCAAGATTCCATTTTGCAAACAGACCCAACAAATGATTCTCTTTTTATTTTGATTAGTTAGATGTACAGCCATTAACATCTGACAGACATCATAGTTCGAACCGTTCTTTGTTCATTGTGTTTTCTGTTTGCGAACTAGTCAAAGTCAAAGTAGTTTCGTTTGTAGGAATCTGAACTTACTTGTTGGACCCAAATGTTTAGTCTTTGACACAACCACCGATTATTTCTTTTATTTTATTTTAAATCAGTTTGTACATCATGTTGCGATAGGCATCAAGAGTGTCCTAGTGCAGACAACGTACAGTGTTGTAGCCTATGAGTGACAGTGAGGCTCCACAACCGGACGATAGGACCTTGCGATCGGCAAGACGCCCGATAGCCCACTTGGCATTAGGACCAGAGGGCAACAGACACCTGTTCTGCCAGCAGAGGGAGAGACAGCAGCAGCAGCAGAGGGCTAGGGCCGTAGAGGCAAGCAGGGCATTCACAAGCGAGGCCGCTACCTCGGCAACCATGGCATCTGCCGCGCAGCAGAGCTCTCAGGCTAGTGGGTCAAAATGTGTAGGGTCAACGGGCGCACAAACCCTGAGTCAGTCCACTGGCGTCATGGCAAGCCAGCCAATCGTGTTGACTCTCGAGGAGGTCGCCATACAACGAGCAGCAATTCGCAAGGCATAGCTACAACAGGCGTTAGGAGAGATTAAGGCAGAGAAAGAGAAAATGATTAGAAGAAGAGTCAAGATGCAATGGAGAGAAGCGGACGTTAGTGAGTTAGAGGGAATGGAGCTGACGCACGTGGATGCGGATGTGAGGATCCTACGGTCTGTCCTGTTAGATGTATTAGAAACCCAGGACCGCCAAACGACTCTTTTACAGGACATCCAGCAGAGTTTGGCTATATTGGTTGGGCGAGTGCAGGCAGCTCCCTCGTCGTTCAGGCCCGGTGCTTGGCCCGTTGTTCATCCTCCTCCTTTTGTCCCAACGATGACTAGGGTATCCCCATATGTCTCTCCAACATCGGTCCAGGCCACTTCCCTAGGAATGTCGTTAACAGGAGGGTTCTCAACAGGTCTTGGTGTACAGGTTTCTGTACAGACAGTGTTTTCCCAACCTCCGTCGCAAGTTGGCGTAAGCAGGCAGCCTGTTGTCTCGCAGCGTGCACAGCCACAGGGTACTCAGCCCCAGCAGCAGCTAGTGCAGCAGCACGGGCCTCAGGGTCCACAACCCGGAATGGTGCAGGTACCGGGACAAACATAGTGGGTTCCCAAGACTGCCCTCGCCTCTCCCAAACCTTTTTCAGGGGACAAGAGGGGCGAAGACTTCAACACATGGTTGAGGTCAGTGCCAGTCTACGTAAAGTGTAAATTTACCTTGCCGCACGAGGAAGTGTTTGTGGCTGCCTCCTATTTAGAGGGGAGTGCAGAAAGATGGTTGAGTGGTTTAGTGTAGTTGCAGGGATACGGTCATGACTTCCGCGCTTGGGCAGTCAACCAGAAACTGGACGACTTTCTCAAGATGGTAGAAGACATGTGGCATGATCCTCAGGAGGCTCAAAAGGCCACTGACGCGATCCCGACTCCGAACCATAGACAATTCAAGTCAGTAAGTGAGGCCACAAATGCAGTAAAGCGTTTGATTTGTGTCCCTGGAGTGCTCTATGACCCCCAGGTATTACTCAACTCCTACCTGAGTTGTTTTCCTATGCCTCTCAGGAATCAGCTAGCAGGTGCGGCCAACATCAACATTCACAACTTCCCCTCGTTCAACAAGAAGGCCCTAGACCTGGAGGCAAAGATAGGGCATGGACAAACACCCACGACGAATGGTAGGAAAAAGTCACTGCCTCCCAACTGGAAGGCCAAAGGCCGTATTATGATTGTCGATAACGATGGTTCAACCATCGAGTCAGATGACAACTTTCAGGAGGGAGTAGGTACAGAGGCGGGCATCGTAGAAGCTTCAGGGGTTGGATTAGTCGCTGCTTCAGTACAGAAAGGTAAGGCGTCCGGTAGATGCCGTGGAGGCTCACGGTCTAGGAGTCAAGTTGACCCCAACGCTCCTCCATGGGAGAAAGCGGGTCTAACAGAGGACGTGTGGAAAGACCGGTACACCTAGCAAGCTTGTATCCACTGTGGCGAATATGGCCACATCCACTTTAAGTGTCGTAATAAGAAGGTGACCGAGAAGATCCCGCCTACGATGGGGCAGGCGTTGGGGTCCTCTGCTCCCGTGGTAGCAATGTGGCCAGCAGTTCTGACACTGCTCCGGGAATCGCGTCGGGTCAGTAGGAATAGTAGCTGCTCCTACTAGGGTCGAGGTGGTGGACACACCCTCACCATCTCGAGAGATGGCCCAAGCTACTGACTCCATTGTCGTCCCGCAAACACATTCAGACCCATCGAGCCTCTGTTCGATGAACGTGTTTGAGTCCCCAGAGGAGCTAGAGGAGCGGTCCAAATCAGACCCGCTAGCTTCTTGGATGGCATTGGCTAAAGCCCCTAAGAGTGAAATGTTCATCGGCGAGGTAGTCATCTGCGGCCGTAAGACCGGGGACTATTATGACACTTACTCGACTTGGAACTTCATTAGTCGCGTACGTTGAGAGGCTGCGCTTACAGGGGCAAGTGCAGCGCCTAACTCGACTTGTGGAGTCGACCTGTGCCAACAAACAGCGCATGGTAGTCCACGACTACCTTCAGGACGGTGAGTGTTGTTTCCCGTACGCAGGAGGGGAACTGAGACATCGCGTCTCGTTCCTAGTCAGTGATGATCTCCCTATGGATATCTTGTTAGGTGTGTACTACCTCTTAGTTGCACAGCCCTAGTTTGACTAGGACCGAAAAGTGGTCAAGCACACTTTGCCCGGTGGGGTGACCGCCAGATTACGTAAGTTTAAGGCTAGTAGTCTGATCGAGTCCTATGGTTGCATGTGTACGGTCGCGTTTTACAACTATTATAAGCAAAATTTGGAGGAGGGTATGTATCTAGTCTATGTCTCTGCAGCAGGCGAGTCGGTGAAAATGCCGCCGGAGATAGAGGGACTAGTCGCTAAATACCCTGATCTATTCGAAGAGCCGAAAGGGGTTGTCGAGAGGGAGGTCGTCCACGCGATAGAGATTATCCCAGGGTCTAGTATCTCGAAGGGTAGGATCTATCGGATGTCTCCAGGCGAGCTTGATGAGCTTCGCCAGCAACTCAAGGAACTCGTAGAGAAGGGTTGGATCCGACCGAGTGTCTCCCCTTATGGATCTCCAGTCCTATTCGTACCAAAGAAGGGGGGGACTCTGAGGATGTGCATTGATTATAGGGGCCTCAGTGCCATCACTGTCAAGAACCGAGAGCCCCTACCGCGCATCGACGACTTGCTGGACTGAGTGCAAGGGTGTCGGTACTTCAGTAAAATAGATCTGAAGTTCGGGTACCATCAAATTGCAATACGGTCCGAGGATCAACACAAAACCGCATTTCAGACCAGGTACGGTTTGTACGAGTTTGTGGTGATGCCTTTCGGCCTTTGCAATGCTCCTGGCACCTTTCAGCGCGCGATGAACAGGATCTTTCATGACTACTTGGATAAGTTTGTCATCGTGTACGTCGATGACATACTTATCTTTAGTAGGACTGTCGAGCAGCATGTAGCCCACTTAGACAAAGTCCTTAGTCTCCTCAGGCAGCACAAGTTCAAGATCAACGGTGAGACGTGCGAGTTTGGCCGCACCAGTATCTTGTACTTGGGTCATGAGATTTCCGCAGAGGGATTGAAGCGCGATGACGTGAAGGTGGCCAGCATTCGAGGCTGGCCGCGTCCTCAGTCTGTGACTGAGATGAGGCCCTTCTTAGGGATGACCGGCTACTATCGCAATTTTGTGAAGAACTATAGCATAGTTGTCGCTCCTTTGACGGACCTGACTCGCCTTGACACCCCATGGGAGTGGACAGACAGGTGCGAGGGTGCTTTCAGACATCTGAAGCATGCGCTGACGCATCATGAGGTCTTGAAACTTCCTGATCCTGACAAGCCGTTTATAGTAGCCACGGATGCTAGCCAATATGGCATAGGCGCCGTGCTCGAGTAGCAGGAGGGGCCAAAGTGGAGGCCAGTCGAGTGCATGTCCAAAAAGATGCCCTCTCAGAAGTTGGCTAAGTCCACCTACGAGAAGGAGCTCTATGAGATTTATAAGGCACTTACCCATTGGAGACATTATCTCCTTGGGAGGTTCTTCGTATTCAGGACTGATCATCAGACCCTGAAATGGGTGAGAACCCAGCCGGTGCTCTCCGATGCATTGAAGCGTTGAATCGAAGTCATTGAACAGTATGACTTTGAACCACAGTATCTAAAAGGGGAGTACAATAAAGTTGCTGATGCGCTGTCACGTAGGCCAGATTTCTCCGGTGCGCTGATCACCGAGTTCGGGCTTGCGGACGATGTTACTCGTTCTTTGGTGGAAGCCTATCGCGAGGATCCGTTTATGGCTGAGATCATACGCAGACTCAAGGCGAAGGACAAAGCGTTTTCTGCCGAGTTTGAGTTGGTCAATGGCCTGCTGTCCCTTGAGAAGGCCAGGAATAAATGTTTGTGTACCTAATCGAGAGTCTTTGCGTAGTTTATTTTTAGGCGAGTGTCATGATGCCACAGGACATTTTGGGTATAAGAAGACTGCGGCCAATTTGCTGCAGCAGTTCTGGTGGCCCACAATGGTGAGAGACGCCAAGCTGTACGTGGAGACCTGTCAGGTATGTCAGAGGGACAACCCACGTACACAGGCCCCTCTTGGGCTTCTCAAGCCCCTTTCGATACTGGAAAGGCCCGGTGAGAGCCTGTCCATGGACTTCATGGACACACTGGTCACCAGCAAGAGTGGAATGCGGTATGTCTATGTCATTGTGGATAGGTTTAGCAAGTATGCTAGGTTAGTCACTATGCCTGCAACAGCCAAAACGGAGTATGTGATTAGACTGTTCAAGGAGAACTGGGTCAGGGACTCTGCGATTCCCACGTCTATTGTTAGTGACAGGGATGTCAGATTGTGGAAGGCCGCAGCTGCAGAACAGGGTACACAGCTGCAGATGACCTCCGGGAACCACCCAGAGGCAAATGACCAAGCAGAGCAACTGAACCGCGCTGTACAGCACCTGTTGCGGCACTACATCAAGCTCAATCAGGCGGACTGGGATGAGAAACTTGCTCTCATTGCACAGCGCCACTGGGGTGAGCCCTAACAGTTTCCTGCTGACTTTTAAGCCTAGACTACCCCTTGACTTCCTCTTACCTGAGAACCAGCCAACTGCTGCACCTGGTAGACTAGCGTTTGCCTATGTATATGAACAATTGATGCAGCAGGCGGTAGAACAGATGCACAGGGCACAGGCAGCGATGATAGATTCTGAGAATAAGCACCGCCGCCCATCTACATTCCAGGTAGGGGACAGAGTCTGGGTTAAGTCCTCAGAACTGGGTCAGGAGCACGGAATCTCCCGCAAGCTCATGCCACAGTACTTTGGACCCTGGGAGATTCTAGATATCGTTGGGGATGATCCGGATGGGCCTTCATATGTAGTTCAGATCCCTGGTCACCTTCGCACTTACCAAGTCTTCCACGCCTCCAAGCTCGCACCTTTCAGGGAAACTGACCAGTTTCCTTCTCGTCGTTCAATGCTGCCCTCAACCATGGATGGAGAGGTCGACATCGACGACATCGTGGATCATAGAGAAATGCCAGTTCCAAGGCCTACAGGTAGGGGACGTCCTCCGAAACCGAAGCTGCAGTATCACGTTCGGTTCAGACGTCATACTGATCCGAAGGAGGACAGATGGTTTACTCGGGAGGAACTGATGCAGACTGCTCCACAGGTCGACCACTACGAGAAGTTGCTGCAGAAAGGAAAGTGCCGGATTGAATGAACTTGGACTAGCGAAGTATGGAGGAGGGAATGCGAGGCACAAGGCATCGATACGCCCTACTGGGCCCTATTTTCAGCACAGTCGGCCGCCCTAAGTGAAGGCAGGCTCAACCAAGGCCTACAGGCCATTTTTGGGGTTACCGTGTAAAATCAGGCAGTTGCGCAGCGCCAGTTGGTTAAGAGCGCCCAGGCCCAGGCTGCCTTTATCGAATGTAACTAAGGCAGGCTCTGGGCCGGATACGCAATGTGGACAGAGCACAGGCTTCGGACAGTTGGGCACAGGTAACCATCACAGGCCCTGGGCCTGAATTCGTTTGCTCTGAGGTGCAGCCTCGTGGGGCCTACCGGAAGCTTCTGGGCAGGGGCCCAGCGCAGCCAGGCTGCACGCAAGCAGGCAGGCATTTCCATTTAGGAAAGTGCCTGCCCACGCATTCGGCATTCGGGCACTGGCTGCATGCTGCGCAAGCGCTGCTGCGCTAACGCTGGCCAGCGCTCACAGGCTCACGGGCGAGCTGGAAGGAGCAGGCAGCCATAGCCGAGCTGCGCTGCTGTATGCTGGATGGGGCGCATGGTGGTCTTTTGGTGCATGTGGCATCTGTGAGTTGGGGAACGAGGTTGTGAGTGATACGAGAGACATACCTGGTGCTTGAAGCGAACGGCATTGGCCGAGATCTGCTCGTACTTCGTGGAGCTGTTGACGTCACCAGCGGCATTGTAGATAGGCTAGATAGGATCTGCCATTTGTAGTCTGGGCGCCGAGCGCCAGATAGGATGTCGACATTGGTTCTTTGTTGATGATGATGAGACTACTCGAACATTGTCACTTATGAGCTTTTGCTGTACTATTATTTGGTGGGACTCGTGATGCAATTCCGCCTTTGGTTCGAGGTCACGACTATCTGGTCTCATGTGTATGATGCTGCTTGGTTTCTGAAGTTCGCTATTGCTCATTTTCCGTGCACAGAGAGAGAGAGAGAGAGAGAGAGAGAGAGAGAGAGAGAGAGAGAGAGAGAGAGAGAGAGAGAGAGAGAGAGAGAGAG